TCCAGCTTTATCATCAACTTTTCTTTCCCCATTTTTGCATTTGCTACATTGCAGCCAACAAAGGCACAGAGAATTGATATCTCTTGACAGAACAGATCCAAAAAACAGGTGATAACAGAAATACTGGCAGCTAAGCCTAGCCTTCTGGATGCTACCAAGTCACCTTCTCAGATTCAGAGGAAGTGACAATGCTTTTTTTATACTAGTAGGACAGTGGCAATTGACCTGGTACTCAGAGAACTGCTATATCCAAAGAAAATTTGCAATTCTTCCAGTTATAGATCAAATCCTGTAACAAAATGAAAAGCACAGCAACAGCAGCATAGTTGCAGAGTCCTAAGCTACAACAAGTAAGAACATACTCAAATGCAGCAGCTGTAGACACAAAAACAAAGGAAAGAAGCCGCTTACCCTTAGAGGATCTCAGGTACACAGGGAGCTCCAACAAGATACCCTTATCTCCACTGCCAATCCTTATATGAGGTCTAGAAAGGGGTGGATCCTGACTCCACCCCATCCAGACAATCAAGTGCACTGCTTGCACCTGAGTTCCCCTGGGTTAGCCCTGCCTTCCTACCAGGTGTTTAATCATTGTTTCAAGCTGTGACCTAGCATTTCTGCCACACATCCTAAAGCAGAAGTAATTTGCAGGGTAAGCTCTGCAAAATCATTGTGTTTCAGACTCAAGCAATGATTCACATTTGCAAAAGCAGTTCAAGTTTGTTTTGAACACAAAGCTTTGGATACTTCAGAAATGCAGGATGCTGAAACATCAAGTCCAGATCGCAGGGACCATTACAGTATTGTGAGAGCCCACACTGGAAGAGGAAGAGGAAAGAAAGAAGAAAACAGACATTAATGAAGCAAGGTATACTTAACTTGCAATTTACAACTGTTCTCCAGGAAGAAAGCATGCACAATATGACTAAAAAAACACCTTGAAGAAGAAAAAAAATCAAGGCAAGAACTGAGGCAGAGTGTGGCATACAGCATATATTTTGTGAACCTCTTTTTGACAGAAAAGGCATGGATGGATGGAAGTCATGCAGGAGATTTCAGCACATAGCACCCCTCTGCCTCAGGTTCTGAGACAATGACCCAGAAGAGTGCAGAAGGCACTTCTGAGCTTTGCATTTGCAAAAGCAGTCTACAGATGCGCCCTTGACTGGAAAGAGTTTTGGGAGCCAGTTTGTGTCGTTTTCATTTGTGCTGTTCACTACGAATCTGGCTGATCTGTGCCCAGTAGCAGAGGGCTTTTTCCCTGCTTGTTTGCCACATGCCTAGTCAAACACCCAAGCCTTCTCAAAAAGCCTGTTTTGTTATTACAGCGCTATGCGCCTGGAAAAAATGAACAGTCATCCTAAAGCATCTCTGCAGCAGGCATAACATCCTGGCTGAACAATCTCCCAAATGCCTGAAAGTTTGTGAACCTGAGCTCTTGATGATCCCTGATCATTTGCACTCCTCTTAAGGGCCTTAAAAAGCACATGCTGAATTATGATGCCAGCTTCTTCTCTCATGACTGCCCTCCCCAGTCTTCATTTACATAACTCAATTCCTGGTGCCTGTAACTCAGCACATAAGCAAGAATGTTCCTAATACTGTGTCAGTAAAACTGCAGAGAAAAGGGGGGAGAGTGGGTGGGGGGGCGGGAGAAAAATAACAGGCTATGACACTTTCTAAACAAAAGAGAAGCTGAAAATACCTCAGTCACAGAAGGACAAAGTTGGGCAGACCAGCTGACCTCGGAGTGGCATGGGTTCCTGTGGAGGGAAGGTTTTGCAGCCCACTGAAGGGGGAACAGGGTACAGTGAGGATGTGAGGCATGAAAACTCCTTCTGAGGAAGTTACTGCTGCTTGGTCTCCCCTGATGGATGGGAGCCCAGGGCTGGAAGCACCTCACCAAGAAGCATTTGAGCTGGAGACTTCAGTTGCTGGTACATGCATGATGTCTGGTCCTCTACCTGTCAGTGAGCAAAAGGACATTCCCTAAAAACTCCACAGTAGTGGACTGGAAAATTGGAAGCTGCATTGCCCTTCTGTTGGGGTATGGGCAGGAGCATAAGGTGGCACCCAGGGGATTCCTACTGGATGAGAGAGAAGGATGGAGAATTGGCAAGCAGAGGGTGAGGCACAGGAGGGGCCCCACTTGTGGCTTTTTAGGTTGAGGCCACATAGGCTGCCAGCTCACCTGCATCACAAAGAACCAGCTTTCCTCACAGGCTTAAAATGCAGGTTACTTGAGGAGCTGCAGCCACACTCATCTGTAGTATCGACTGCCTAAAATGGCGGCACCCCAGCAGGAGGAAGGGCGTGGCCTGCCTCAGTGCCACAGGTGCGTGCTCACTGGAGACTTGCAGAGAAGTGTCTGTCAGAATATATGAAAACAGGGAGCTCTTCCTTCTCTTTCTGCATTTTCAGTCATCAGGTAGAGCAGAAAGAGAAAGGTACCAGTCAGAAATGCTTGGCTATTTCTGATAGAAGCAGAGGTCTGTCCGACCCAAAATGGCGGTGTGCCATGAGGGGGATGGTTTACATTTGAAGGGCCTTCTTCCCCAGGGAGGAGAGTGCTGTGTGCACCCCAGCTGGCGGCTGCACGCAGGGCAAGGCACTGCGCTGTGGAAATGAGACCTGCAAATTTACAGTGGCGTTTCTTCCTTGTTGACCGGTGGTAAAAGCTATCCCCAGTGCGACTACTGCTTCTTAGAAGCAAACCATCCCTTGCCAGAGCCCAGTTCTAAAAGCATTTATCAAAGCAACAGTGTTTCGAGGCATTGGGCTGGTTTTATTTTGCTGTGCCTTTCCTCAGGCTAAACCAGACTCTGCAACGACAAAAACTTAGTTTGCTCCTCAGACGTCAGAACTTTCTGTGACACAAATCATGGCTGCTTTTACAGCAATAAGGAAATTGATTCTTCTGCCTGATCGTTCTGATCCTTTATCAGCCCTCTCAGTCCTCCTGCAGGGCTATCAGGAAAGCTAATTGGATTTTCTCCCAGGTTGTTTATTTGTGAAATAAAATTCCCGTTTGCATAACTAACTTCTTACGATCATTTATCTGTTACTGTAATGCAGTTCGAGGGAAAGCTAAGCAATTATCCAACCCATTAACCGTGAAGGAAGCGTAGCAAGTTGTGGCACACAGAAAAGTCGTCACTTGCCTTTTTTTAGCATCTATAGACATTTTAATGTAGACTCAGCACCTGCTGTGGGGATCCAAGCAGCCAGAAGAGGGTAGTATACGTTAATTAATCAGCTTCATCTGGTGGTAAAGCAGAGCTATTTGCAAGAGAAACATCTACTGACATTTCTGGCTGCAAGGTAGAGAAAGGCAATACTGAGAAATTTGATAGAATTTGGCAAGGAAGATTTAAGTTAGAACTGTCAACAATTAGATTAATAGCAGGCTACAGAGCTTTTCACCTTCTGCTGTTAGCTCCTGTTTGAGCAATGCCTCTTTCAACAGAAATGCATGTCTGAAACAACTTCATGGCTTTGCTTTCAGCTAAGAACAGCACACATTACTAAAACTAATAGCATCTTAAGTGCGTTCTGGTGTAGTGCCTTGCCTGCAGTAAATCTAAAAAGCCAAATGGGGATGTCATGAAACTGCATAGCACTGAAAGCGCCTTGAGGGTATGATTCAGGCCTAAGAACTTGAAAAAACCCACCACCTTCACACATGCTGTCTGACATTGCATGGGGTTTCTGCAGTTGACAGAGACTCAGAAAGGAAAATGTACATCAGCATGGAGTACAAGGCAGAAGCGTGGCTTATAATTCACATTAACATGTTTTACTGCTGCTCACTTCCTTTCTTAGTGCATAGCAAGTCCTCTGTGGATGAAAGCAGTGAATGGGGATTGACTGAGGAAGTAAAGAAGGAATATCTGAGTGAGTAAGTTATTATTTGCCTTATACTATTAGTAGTTGGATATCGCTGACAGGATCAGACTTCTACTGTGATAGATGTTGTACTCTCTCATGGGAAAGGAAAAGCAACAACCTGAAAAAGGAAGCTCTTCATCAAACAAACAAAAGAACAAACAGAAAGTGAAAGGGAAAACAGGTACAAAAATATGAAATGCCATGCTTAAGATCATATGGCTAGTAATTGGCAGAGCAACAGAAGACTCCTGACAACGTGCTTCTGGTGGAGCTAATTTAAATTCTCTCAGAGGTTAGTAAGTAAAAATGATTGGTTTGCACATTTACACCTTGGAAATGCACTGAAACCATAATACACCATTGATTCATATTTTATTAGTACTCTGCCTGAAGCGAAGTGGAAATGTAAGCTGATTTTTTTTTTCTAGAATTACTTTCCCTCCGTCCTCTCAAAAATAACACATGCAGAAAACATCAGAACTTTTCATTTAACATTAGACTATAAATGCTAAACCAGACGCCCTTCACCTGCTGCTACAATGCAGCTGCTTTCTCAGCTTGAGCATTGTCCTTTATCCCTGTAACACAGAAAGAGCACACAAGAGCTGAAGAAAGGAAAGGGACAGAGAATACCATATGCAAGCTGAATTAGGGTGTCAGACTAATCTCAACCCCTCTAAAAAGCTTAGTTTCAGGAAACCTTCATGTGACAAATTCAGAAAGCCTTTAAAGCAACCCTGTCACTTCAAATCAATGGTTGCACATTTGTCCACAGTTTTCATGGACTTGGCTTTCAGTTTCAGAAAGGGCCCTTCTAAAACGACGTGCAAATATCCAGCTGCCATGTCTGCTTCGGTCAGTCCCATATCTCTGATCATTTTGATGTGAGGAAGGAGCAAAGCCAACTATAAAGATTCTTTCTGGATATCATTTTCAATAATGCAGGAAGGTTACAGTAATAAGCCAGTTCCCCTACGATTTCCCTCCTCTGCATTATGCATTTTGGTTTCTCTGGCACACAAGAGATACATTATGGAAAGTGATGCTTGATGGGGAGTATTCTGCGTACACATCCCTGTTCTGAGCTCAGTTCCTGGGGATCATTTGCCATTTGTTTCTCTCTTGTTTGGCTGAGCTTTCCTTTTGAGCTGCCTGTCCATTAAAAGGAGTGTGAGGACGTCCACGCAGAGTCGACAAGTCTGACTAGAGGGGCTTCCCCTTGTGTTTCCATGCTGCCAGACGCAGTTGCCTGCAGAGGGATTTGGACGGATGAAGATGCAGTTGGTAAGGGTACATTACCCCTTAAAAACATGCTTGAAGTGTTGCTGTTCACCTCACTTCCTGGGTTGGTGACACTTACAGCACTGCTGCTCACTGACCACAGGCAAGGGTAATGGCTGGAAAAAAAGAAAAAAAAAGCAGTACAAACTGAATGACTTTTTCAAAACCTGCATAGGACTTACTTCTATGGTCAAGTGCATTATCTGCTCAAAAGCTGGTATCCCAATCAAGTTGCTGAACTAGATCAGCTTTGCAGATCTTATGTGAAAAACACAAACAGCCATTATACTTGGTGACGCTGAAGATAGGCATGGAGAGAAACATGCAAATACATGTGATGCTTTAGGATTTAAGTGTGTCTGTTGTTTTTTTTTTTCTTAATGAATGCTTATATTTTAAATAATTTCACCTGATTTTCCAGGCATTTAAAATAAGGAAATTCATGCATTTATTTGGGGAAAGGAGGGGAAAATACTTAATTGGTTTTATATGCCTAATAAGTTCTAGTCAATCCTAGAACTGATTACTGCCCTATTACCAATACTTCTATAATGCACCATGAATTAGCCTTTGTTATATCCCTGCAGTGGAGTAAGATCCTCATTTCATGCAAGAGAATACTGAGCAGCATGGAGAGAAAGACAGTTTGGCTTGAAAACTCTCACTGACAGCAGACACCTGAGTTTCAAGATTCTGGCTTTCAAAAGTGCTAGGGAAAAATAAAGCTCCCATTGATTTTATCTGGGCAGAAGGTAATCAGCTTGTCAAAAGGATCTGTCTGGGAATCTTAAGTTGGGTACCTGGGACATGTTTTAAAATCTGGATGCTGATTGAAGCATGAAATAAAGTGTGAATTACCAGGGCAGGTACAGTCCTAATGTGAACAGGTGCAGAGATTTCTCCCACTCATCCACATCAGCCTGTGAAAGATTGTTTTTCATTTGGATTATTTGACGTGAGCAGACATGAAGCATGGAGTGGCAGATCATGGGAAGCTTCTTATCTTTGCAGTGTGGCAACACCACTGTTGTTTCAGCATACGCTGAACAGGATTGAAAAGTTAAGGAGAAACAATCGCATCACACCAGGAATATCAGCCACTTTCTGTACTCTGAAGCATAAGAGAAAGCAGAGAAGCTGGAGACCATGGTGAGCCATGGTGGAATGAAAAGCCTTTAAAGCCTTTGACACTGTCCCCCACAACATCCTCATAGGGAAAAGCTGGCTGCCCATGGTTTGGATGGGCATATGATCTGCTGGGTGAAACACTGGCCATATTGCTCTCTTCAAATACCTGAAAGGTGCTTACAACAAGAGTTGGGTTGGTCTCTTCTCACTGGTAACAGGTGACAGGATGAGGGGAAATGGTCTCAAGTTGTGCCGGGGGAGGTTTAGCTTGGATATCAGGAATAACTTCTTTACAGAAAGAGTTGTTAAGCACTGCAATAGGCTCCCCAGGGAGGTGGTTGAGTCACCATCCCTGAATGTGTTTAAAAACCATTTGGATGTGGTGCTCAGGACATGATTTAGTGGAGGGTTGTAAGAGTTAGGGTAGTATGGCTAGGTTAGACATCCTAATTCTCATTCCTATACTGAATCTCACTTGTATTTCTTCCTAAGATTTTCTTTACTAGATCTTTTAGTAGTAAACAACAACAAAAAAAAAAACAACACCCTTTTTATTCTTCAAGTCATTAACAAACCCAATCAATTCTATAGAGCCCAGTTATGATTAAACATTCCATGCGTTGTAAATTGAATATAAAGAGCTCCATGATTTTAAAAAAAAAAAAAAAAGGCTAAAATTACAGAGGCAAGCTGACATCTGTACAATTTATTTTTTGAAACCTCTGGAATACATGTTTATCTGGCATATTGTTTATTAGATAAAATACTGGAGAGACTTAGCAAGTGTGCACACCTACTAGTAAGTGCTGCTTCTGCAGTATTTCACACTCATGTAGCATGGGCAAACTTTGCTGTCAGATAGGTCCTTCAGTTAAACAGTATCTCCACTTTACACATGGAAAATTGAGGTTGTGATTCACCTAAGGAAGACCGTGTATGTAGAGGAGGTGGGAATTGGTTAAGAAATCAGGCATGAATGGAACCTTATGGCAGTCCCACTAGCCTCAGTGCTCCTAATACCAGCAGCTTTCCTGTAACCTTACCTGGGCCCTGGGCTGGCAGCTCCCTTGGTGTGTGGCACGGAGAGCAAATTAGCATGTGGAGAGGATGGTAAAGTCCAGCTGTCATGTCCTGAGAATACCTGAAGATTATTGCTGGAGCTCTCCAAAATATTCACTTTGAAGGGGAAAAAAAAAAAACAACAAATCCTCATGACATGCGTTTTTCCAAGGATCTTTTGATTAATGATGACTGCTATATTACTGGCAATGTTTTGGTACACATTTCTTTATAGGTTGAGTTTTCAGTTAAGTAGGATGCTTTGCTAAATTATAGCTAGCAAACAGATTACTTTATCCTTACTCCTGTTTCTGGTCAATTTCATATGATCAAAGTAGATCCAGTTTCTGTATCTCCACCCCCAGATCTAGAGAGCAGGTGGGACATGAAAGATCTCCTGGCAATACCAAAAAGCCATCACCTCGAATCAACATCTGCCACATTCCTAAGGACTGCTCTGACTTGAGAGAGCAACTGTTTTGTGGCACATCACTAAAAAGAGGGCTTGTAATGGTTTGATACTTTTATATAACTGAGAGAAGGACTTTGAGCAAGATCATTCACTCTTATTTACAATTAGCAGTTACAGTGCACCGAACAATTCTGTTCCACTTCTTCTGTTGCCTTAACCGTACCCTCTGCATTCAGTGTTCAGTGCAGATTGTCACAGACACTCACACTGCTCTTCCCCAGTTTCAGCTTTCAATTGTTTTACTGCTTAGGGTTACCAAAGCAAGGGTCTGTCAGGGTGAATGTTTCCTGGAAGCAAAGCAGTTGTACCTGTAGGTGAATGATTTCTTTGCATGTAGGAAGGTGGGTATGGAGCAGCCCGATGCCCTCGCAGTGCTGAATATCGCTCACAGCTATGGGGAGCGTGTGGAGCTGGCAAAGGTAAAGGTGCAGTATACTGGTAATTAGAGCTTCCTGATGCGCACATTGTATCTGGGTTGGAAATCAACCAGCCACCCACTTTGAAGGGAAAGACAAGAATATTATTGCACTGAAACATTGCAGTTCAATAAAGTAGCCAGGCTTCTTGCACACCAGTTGAGCCTCAGAAATATCAAACCCATGCCAAAACACTGCTTCATGGAGCAACTGACAAGCAGAAAACAACCCACCAAAAGAAAAAAGCCCACCAAAAAATCCCACCACTAAAAACAAGACCTGAAAACACACTAAGAGAAACCGTCACTAATGTCAAAGAACAAATGAAAGAAAAGCTGATCATCATTGGAATGAACACAACATCTTCTCCCTCATTTAAATTTTTGTGCTGCTTAATGATGAAAGTTTCATGGGGGACAAAAATACAGTTATAAATACAAAACAAGTGGAGAGAAAGCCCTTAAAATTCCATTTATAATTTTTTTTCCTGGATTCCATTTACATCAAAAATTGGATCATATGAAAAATGACCCTTCTGCAGAAACTGATTTCCTACTGAAGTTATTTCAATCGTTATTTAGTTTAGACAGCCCTTTTCTGCAAAGGCAGTTCAAGGCTCAGTGAACTGCTGCTCTGATCCAGTTAAGCAGATCCCAGCTTCCCAGCATCTATCTACGCTAAATCTCCAGCTCACATGAACAAAAGCCTTACAGTGAGAGTACGTCATATGTTGACCTTCAGAGACTGCTTCTGGTGCATCCTTGGGATGGTTTCTGAAAGGGAAAACATCTAGCAGTAAAACTTCTTATTGCAAAATTAGTAAAGAAATTTTAAAAACTCAAAACTAGTCATGCACACACAAAAAAAGACTTTTCTGCACTCTGTCATAAAGGAAACAATTATGTTACACAGCATCCCGAGCCTGAAAAGCTAGGTCTAACTGCGGGACACCTGGGACTTCCTGCATCCCACTCAGTCTAAAGCAAGGCTCTGCCTCCTGCTTAGGGCCATGAGACAAAGGCAGCATTTGCCCTCTGCAACTGAGAATTAAGACACAGCAGCTCCAAGAGTGGAAAGGAAAGAAATAGTGATTCTCCTGCAGGCATATGGGAGACGTCATTTTAGAAGACACAGCAGACCTGGACAAAATTTATTAGCAATGATGGATGGGAATTGATCATTTGGATGCCTCAATGTGTTAGTACAGATGAAGTGAATCTTCATGAAATAATTAAGCCACGGTCTGTTTCTGGTGGCAGAAGCATCTCTACCATAGTGAGCATCTACAGGTTACTTTTAATAAACACATCATAGAGTATCACACAGGTTCAGCAATAGCAGTGTGTCTATGTTACCAGTAAAGCACAATTTCACTTTAACTATATGCTTTTTGAAGTATGCAGCATTTTTTTTCCCTGACCTACTGAATTATGGTATTCACTGGAGTCTAAGTACAATGTAGTGAACATATGAGGTGTACAACATCACTGGGAAAACTCATACCCATCTCATTTCATGTGTCCTTCTGTCTTGAAGAGACTACTCACCCACATTAGGACATCTCATGGTGACTATTATATAGTCTCCCCACTAGTTTCAGTGGGGTGACTCTAGACTTAAGACAATAGAAACAAGATTAAGTTATGTATAATTTATTTTTTCCATGGTGACATCACAGTTTTAAACCATATCAGCAACCAAATACTACTGGAGCTGAAAAAGATCAACTCACCTTTCTTTTGCATCCAGGAAGGCTTTGGCAAAGGGATTATACTTGATTTTGAGAGCTGTTATCTTGAGTTTACAGAAAACAAGGCATGTTAGTGAAGGCAACTTGGAATAGAGAGTTGAAACAACATCTTCCAGAGAAAACTAAGTGGAACTGCCATGGTTAGACAAACAAAATATATCCCCACGTATTGTTTTCCAGGAGTGGTTGGAGGGAGATTTGCTCTTTGCTTAGTGCTGTGTACTGATCAGTGCCACAGGCAGCACACCAAAAGGGGCAACTTAATTGTGTGGTCTAGTCTGGTAATTCCTGTGGGATTGTGAAGCCTTTTGAGAGAACTGAGAAGAAAAACAAATACAAATCAAATCAGCAGCCAAGAGATATGGCAGATGAGTGAACAATTGTCACAATCCAAATTATTCCTCAATTCCAATTTTAGAGTAGAAATTTTCCTTTAGAATGATATGTCTTTCCATAACTGTATGCATTTTAAGGAGAGGGAAGAACTACGATTATCATTAAAACTGTTGGTCATTACTATAGAAAGATATGTGAACTGACTGTAGGTTTTTTACAGTAAGAGATTGGGATGCCAGGATAGATGGACCAATCTGGAATAGCAGTGGCAGAATATTAAGCTAAATCTGGCTTAGTACTGCAGCCAGACCTTGGACTGAATAGTTTTCAACTGCAGAAAGCAGACAGTATTAGACTGGGTGGAGCATTAAACTGCATGGGACTAGTAGTGAAATGGGGAAAGGACCAGTTTATACACGCTGATCTTGTAGTTAATAGGCTTCTAACATATATCTCATCAATGATACCCAAGAGTACAGCATGGCGTCTGCCTACCTCTTCATTTTGATAGGCAGTCACAGCTATGAACTGAGTCTCAGGGAAGGAACAGTTCATCACCATCCGGTGGGGGCCTCCTACACGAACTATATGTACTTGAGGCTCGTATTTATGCAGGGAGTTCAACATTATCTGCAGAAAACAAAACAGAAAGACCTCAGTGACACTCCGGTATCCATCCCGCAGCTGTTTTTTCATTCTTGCTCTATAATAGACCAGATTAAACCCCTCCAGTTTATTGTTATTGAAAGCAGAAGGGCAGGTGCCTTCCTAATTCCTGGCAAACTGCATTGAACAGAGTGGGCTTGGATTTAAAGATTTTGATACAGCAGCATATGTGTTAGTAGCCACAGCCTTCACACCACCGGGCTTCCACTGCACTAGAGGTTGTTCAGTCAGTTAAAGAGCAATCTCTATTCTGCTTCTGCTATCTGAAAGAGTCAGAATTATCATCACAGAAAACAAGGCCAGGATAGAGCTGAGGTAGTCACCTCTCATCTTTCTGGGCAAGATTTACCTAAACAAGCCTTGGCAAATGTCTCTACTCTAGCATTTAAAGCTGTGTATAATGGTTATTCTACAGAATACCTTCCTCAGGAAGCCTGTTTCATTACTTAATTATCTCTAATGCAACAAAACATATTTAAAATTAAGGAAAAAAAAATGTATTTTGGAAAGTGCTATGTGCATATATATAGATGGAATAGGGGCCAATAGCTGACTAACAGTGCTTTCTGCTAATACTTTCTAATAACACCACAAAAGGGGAAGCTGAAACACAGTAGAGATGTGGTTTACCTTAACACTGCTGCCAAAACTTAAAACAATTGTTTGCCATTTAGTTGACTTTTCTTTGGATTGTTTCTCCTTTAGGTTTTCCACCTTTCCTTTCTACTTTCTCCTTCTTCCCTTGCCCATATATAAGATCTTGTTCCTGTCTTTCCCATCAAGGTTTCTTTGACCTTCCAAACTGTCTTTTCGTTGTTCCTGTCCCTCTCTTTCTACAGTGCATACATTTAGACTTTTAACTTTTCTAAGGTCCTGGATGCAGGATTAGAATTTGCAAATTCAATCCTATTTTATGTTACACAGTAAGTCCTGTGTGCCAACTCTATGTGTTACTTTATAAAAAGTCAGGTCATCTTTCTGTTCTTCAGTCTCTAAAAATTGAGATAATTTCCTACCTAATTAAGGCACTAGGCTTATGAAGGTACCTCACAAACCAAATGGAAATAATGGGTAGAGAACACACAAAATTTACACAGAAAAAAAAAAATTCTGGGCTGACAAGTATCATCCAACGTAGGAGTTTTGTACAAAAACAAGCAAACAAAAGGTCTTGTGCAATATTTGATCTTTAGATGCATCATCAAAAACAAAATATGAAGCAAAACTAATTTTCCTGTTTGCATTTTTAAGGGGTTCAAAGAGAAAGTCACTTATTTCTGGTACATGTGGTTTCTTTCCAAAGGCCAAAGCTGATTCAATAGAATATTGATAATTATCATGATGCAGAAGCAGACATAGTAATTATTTCATTTAGGAGCAGCCTTTTATTCTGCTATCTGACTCCTGCCAACATTCCACTTACACCAAACAACATGGGGGAACACAACAAAAACCTAATACCCGTGACCATTCTTTCCCCCTTCTCTGAAGTCCTATGTAAAAGAAAAAAAAATAAAAAAAAACCAGCACACAAGACCAACTCTCAAAAGCCCCCTGATGATTAAGTAAACCACAGCACTCTGTTTCTCTTAACATCAAGAAGTCCATTAAAATTTGAAAGCGCCAATTAAGGCCTGTTTATTCCTGTTTACATGTGGCCTCCAGAGAATAATTGGCATCTGTGGGTGAAGAGGACTGTAAGGGCCTCTATAATTACATAAATGCACCCTTGATATTTCTTGATTGGTAGGTGCTTGCAATCGAAGCCAAGAGGTGTATGGGGAAACATCAGGCCATACCCATACCTGCCCACTCCCATTGAGCTTGTTGGTAAGTTTGACCTTGCTGAAGGAGATGGCAGCTTTCATCCAGTGGGCCCCAAAGTTGGGAGAATCTGGGTGGATGTAGACACAGCTGTGGTTTCGTGGCTCCGGTTTCCCAGCTGGCACCCATTCTCCATTGACGTACTTCCAGCGGTGGCCATCAGTCGGGGCAAAGTCTAACAGGAAAGAATACATGGCGTTGGGGTCCAAGCCTGATACGCTGATCTTCAAAACAGGGAACATGCGCCTGTTCAAGAAACAAAAAGGGGAGATACCATTAGAAACCGATTTTGAAAGGCTTGTCTTAGTGAGTTTGTGGCCGGCAACCCGCAGATTAGGTCAAGGAACATCCTCCCTCCCCATTTCTCTCTGTATAGCTAAAGTCTCCTAAAGTTTAATCCTTCTTTTTATTTTTAAAATTTTGGAAAAATATGTAATTGCTGAAGTAGGTACTCAGGTCTTGATCTAGATTTGTGAATGTGTTCTGTTTATGAACTGTGTATAGTGTCAGCAGCATCTATTGGATATGGACACGCTAAGTACCATCCTTAGGTCTGAGACAAGAGGGCGTGAACAGGATTGAACAGACTCAAACATGATCAAGAAGGTGAAGCCAAACCACAGATTAACTGCATTAATTATGGAATCCTGCAATAAATTGCTTTTTGGTGCTTTTATTTTCCTGCAGAACATTGTCCAGTGGCCAAGTTCTACTTTGTCTCGCTCTGTATATATCCTCTAAAATCATCTTGCCATTTCCAGCCCTTAGGACATAATCCCAGGCAGATAACCACCACAAACAATATACAAAGATTTTTCTTCCTTCTTTGAAAGGGATGGTTCCATGGTCTCTGTGAGCTAAATGATTCACTTTCCTCTGACTCATTTCCTGTGGTTCATCTACTAAACTCCAGTATCTGTCACTTAAGTAACAGTTTCCAGGTAGTAGTACTCAAGTGCACTAATAATTTGGCTGCACTTACCTTGTGTAAAATTATTTATTTCCTGATTATTTACTTCATGATTAGTCAGGCATGACTTAACATTTAGTAAAATGCCTTTTATCTCATCTTCCATATATTTCATTACCTTTTCCTTGAAAATACATTCTGAAGTCTTACTAAAGTGTATATTAAAGGCTATATTATGGGTATATTAAAAATCAGTTAGCTGAAACAGTTAACTGTAGTTTTTCCCCTTTTTTAAAAAGAAGTATTCTCATACTGTTCCACCATCAGTACCTTCATTTCCAGTTTGAGAAGTCTGGCCCTTGCTGACCAACCTGCACTTGGCCATTCTTTCAGTCATCTGCTCCCTTCCTTCCATATTCTTCATCCTCATCAGTTTGATCACATTCTTACACTTACAGTTCTACCGTAGATGCAATGCTGTCCATTACTAAGGGCTCTAAACATGTATCATCCAGAATTCCCACCATCTTGTGCATATAAAATTAAAATACTGTCCTCATTTAGTTTTGGGAAAACACTTTGAAGCATCTTTGTCCTTGATTCCAATGGCCCCTTTTCTTAACTCCCATTTATTTATTATGCCTTCCTTTGTAAAGGAGATTTGCAGCAGTACACAGAGGTAGACTTTCATCAGTTTTCTTTCTGTTCCAATACTTGTGATTACAGCTTTGAATTGGCATCTCAGTGCCTGGACAAGTCTACAGCAATGGAATTAGTAGGGCTCTCACAGTTTCAGGAACTGGGAAAAGTAGCAGAACAGACATCTCCCATCAAAGATACCTTACTCATTATGTTTCTTAGGTTGTGGCATCATACACATCATTACATGGAGAATTATTGTAGTTACTATATATCACCTCCTACTATGCTTATATAAACATGAGGTCTCCTGGCCCCAGAAACATCCACACTGACTCCTCCTGGAAACCAACAGTTTGCCACGTCTTTATGCATAGGACAGTAAGACTTCAAGCTTCTTTTCTCTAGAGATACAGAGATTAGTTGCACCTCAGCCACTGTTTGAGGTCCATGGTCATGGTAGCTCTCTAGGCTTTGTTAGGTAGTAGGGCAAAATGTCCAAAATGTCCAAAATGTCCAAAATCCATTCTCTCCACTGACACCAAAAGGCCCCTGCACTCATACTCTTCAGCAGGATTCACCTGCAGACCGCTGACCATCTCCTTTGCCTCTTACAACATCCTACTCCTTACCTTTCTAGACATACATTCAGCACCTCCTGCCCACTCTCTCTGATTTGAGGGAGCTTTTTCATTTAGTATGAGTACTTGGTGACTCAGTGCCAATGCAACACTGAGAAAGATATGCTGAACCATGATCTTTCTAAGTAGAAGTTTAGCCAAGAATTTATTCACTACATTTAACACGTCTTTCTGACCAGATGCCCCCTTCTTTCAAATAGGAACATGACTAAAATTGTGGATGCACTGCATCCTGCACAGCCACGTCACCTGCAGCCCATCTTCAAAGTAACAGGCTTACATATTTAGCTGAAATTGAAACAGAGGGGAAAATTCATCCTGAAAAAATTTAATTTTGCTAGATTTCTCAGAACTATTTGTTAGTTCTTCTGCACACAAAGCAAAATTCTCTGCCTTTCTACTTGAGAGGCTTGAGTTTATCCCCAGAAGAAGCAGATCAGCATCAACTCTAACCTCCTGTACCACATAAGTTACAGCGCTTTCCTGTATTAATCTTTGCCACACACACAATTAATCCCCAACTCATTTGGATCAGCATGTTTGATTGTACAGGCCTTAATGATGGAAGACCTACCACCTCACTTGCTGAGCAGATAAACGGCTTTACTGTTCAAATCGCATGCTGTAGCTTGGCAAATGAAAATTTCCACAAATTTGTTTCAGTCAGAAGTGGTCAGGTAGGTGCACATGTGACCTCTGTTACTGCAATAGCTGAGTATTTCCATCTCTTCCATTTATTTAGAGAAGATCTGCTACAATTACTCCATGGTACGAAGCTTGAGTGGGAAGATGTTTGGTATCAAATCTGAATGTGTAGTAAAGAGTAAAGTTGCTTTAACATCTAAGCCTTTCCCCACATCCCCTTCCATGTTTGCCTGCACTGACCCAGTACTGATTCTCCCCGCATATAAAGGGGAATAGAGGCTCTTTCTTGCCTCTGCACAGTAATGTGGATGTTTCAGAATACCTCTGGGATGGTATCAACGTTGTAAGAAAACTTGCTCAGTCAGCAAATGGGTTGTTTAAATGTTGAAATGCCAATACCATAAATCTGAGTAAAATAGGAGACTGATTCCAGCACCCTTTGCTGCATCCTTTGAGATACATCTTGTGATACAGCATGCAGTTTAATTTCACTGTATCTGTCCTATTAAAAACACATCCATCTTCCCTGTGTCCCTAGGTGTTTTGCTGTGGCAGGCGATTCATATAATGAAGCACAGTGCAGCTATGGAGAAGTATCTACATATTAACAGTGAAGGTGGTTCAGAACATTTTGGGACTCTCAGTACCAATTAGAGATGACTCAATCACAGCAGATAGAACTGTGCATGCTAGAAATTCACATCTGAGAATCGTATCAGACAGCCTTTCATTCTCCAGTACGTTCCTGCATCAAGTTTCAGTTTAATTTCTGAATTTTGCTAACGATATTTCCACACAAATTGCCCTTCATTTTCAAACACCCAAGCTCAGGCTGGCTTTTCCTGTTAATCTTAGAAAACAGTTCTCAAAAGTGCTCACATATCCTTCAAGAAGAATGTCTGAGTTGGTTCTATCACTGTAAGCAGCAGCAGAATTAGATCAATGTTTTTTCTTTTGAGAATCCCTTTAGAGGCTGCCACTGAAGAGTTCTGAGCCTGGAAAAAAGCTCAGGATTTACAGGGAACTGTCCCAAGTTTGTCTCCTTTTGAAAAGCATGGAGTTGTTCAGAGGGTTTTGCAGCAGCCACTGTCTGTTCCATTTTCTCACTGTGCTGGTTGGTTTGTTAAGGGAAAATACTTTCAGAAATGAAAGAGAGCCTTTTTTCTTCTTTTTCTTTTTTTTTTTTTTTTTGGTGGTCATTAATGCTACAGAATCTTCATTATTAGGATTCATGCAGATTGCTAAAATACTCTTAAACAAATTTAGTCTGAGACTGCTATAGTTTGATCAGATAGAAAGAACGCGTACCTGCCCCCAGTGGCTAGCTTTAGGTAAAATAAGAGCCAGCTGATAAGGTCAGTGCTAAGTAAGAATGAAGAAAAATAAATAAGCTTCCATGATTAAAATGTAACATTGGATATTCAAGTAATGATGGATTTTCATCCCAGCAGCAGCATAAAAAGATTATGTACATGCACTCACCTAGACATTTTAGAGAGAAAGAGTATCACCTGCAATCACAACATACGTTAGCACTGAGGAAAGAAAATGAAAAAAAAAAAAATAATAACCCACAACCTGCTGGTAAGGCACAATCCTTTGTATCCATTTAATTAATTTGGTGCAAATTTATTCTCATCTTGGTTACTTATGCTGACAAGGAATGTTTAAATCTACCTTACATTAAGTGAAAATCCACTCAGAAGTTTGCTTTAGCCCAACTATAAACATTCAAATTAAACAAAAGCAGCTTCTTGGTGTAAAGAAGAAGAAGACAACATCTATCCTTATAGATTCCTAAGAATCAGAGTAGTGATAAGCAGTGATATTTTGGAAGTAGAACTGTTCTCTTAGTAGAAGAACCTTGCTGAGCTAGCAGACAAGATTTTTCCCCTCCTAATTTCTTTCCCTGACAGGCTGCAGGCAATAGTAATCTTTTCCACAAGTTCTGTTCAACCAAAATCTCTGCAAAACTGATGGAACTCACACCATGAGCATAAAGCTTTTCTCTCATCTCTTAATCTTGCTCTCCCATGCAGATATTCCTTGTGAAAGAAACATGCATGGAGGGAGGGGTGGGAGAAGATGGCAGAGGTGGCAAGGGTAGAGTAAGTACTACTGTAAACCTTAGTACTGCTGTACAGGAAAACTTTCCTCTAGTCATTACCTGGACTCTGTTGCCTTCCCAGATCAGTGCAGAGCCTATCTGGAGAGCCAGTATCCAATTCAGAATTAACATTCTTTTCTCCGGGTTTTGCACTCAGCAAACAGAAAGATATGTGATCCCCTTATATCACAATTTGTTATCTTTCTAAAGCTCTGTATGTCAGCCAGTATTCTACGGTGCTTACTAAGTACACCAGCAACAACTACAGAATTGTGAGGCACAGTTGTGGGACCACACAGATCTGGACCGCACATACAAGCCACAGAGCACAGCTGGATTGTACCCTTTTCTAGTACAGATTGTATGTGCAGACTGTTAACCTCCAAAGCCTGAGAAACAAGACCAGCAACGGGGAGATAACAGCACTGATCTGCTTCTGAACAGTCCTTTGAGATCTACAGGTAGGAATGTGGTAATAAACATTAATGACTGGTAGCACAAGAAGCAATCCAGAAGATTTTGAGAGATAGTGTCCACTCCTCGGTGAAAGTTCCCTTTTTGTCAATACATTTCTCCAGCATGTTTCACAAGCAGGAATAAAGTGTGGCAGGAATGGCTTCACAGAAAGGAGCGGGGACACCCCAATTCTGTCCCTACCCTGCTTTTAGGGGACCACACTGCTACATGCTCACTGCAGTTCTCTCTAGCCAATGCACACGCTACTTTCTATTACACCTCTTCACACCCCCCGGCTGTCACCCACCCTTAGCACACAGTGCTATGCAGATCACTCACCTGCCATTCTTGGTCACAATCATCTCGTTGGTGACTTCTCTGAATCTCTGCCAGAGGGTAGCATCCTCTAAGACAACCTGAAGCTGCTTCTCAGTGGGGTCACCTTTGTCTCTCCCTGCCCGGAGTTCACTCTCCACGACGCTGAGCAGCCTGGAGATGGTGCAGTCAGTGGGCTTTTTGCAACCCAGGTCTGCCATAATGACTTTACTGCCAGAAACTTGTGGTGGCTGTTAAAAGACAGAAATAGGAAGCTAAATCAAAAAGCAAGTCAGATCGTTGGGCACAGCCTGAGAAACGTGCCCTCCTCACTCTTTTGCCACTGACTAGCTCGTTCCTCTGGAAGTCCCAATGGGCAGTGACACCAGCGTGTGCAGGTTTATGCACACACTCCACACAAAAAAAAGGACTATCTCCTAATTACCTGTCAGACGGTCAGGTGGGTGGCAGGCTGATGACTCAATTGGCTGCCTTGAAAGAAGAGTCCTCCATCCAAATTAGCATGCTTTTATCTTTTTTCAACCTGAAGTGGGTCTAATTGTTCTGCTTGAGAACCAGGTTTCCATTAATGAAAATTATTTCATTTCCAGACTGAAACAATGCATGGAAATTGCATTCTCGCTGATGCGGACTCTAGCTGAAGGAGCTAGTAACAGTCAAGACAGTTAAACAGAGAAGACAGTCTTAAAGATAGAAGAGGATAGCCTTATTTTCACCCAGCATGTTGAATAAACGCATTAACTTCATTACTCAACAATCTCCAAGTTCCTAAATTAACATGTTAGATTGCAAAAGGAAAAAGTAGCATCCTTACACTCCACTGTTGATTCCTGCTCTGTCCATCCCTTGGACCCCAGTTTCATTCACAGAATGTCTGTGGCACCTTAACGTATTTTAACTCCCTTCTGGATGCATCTCTAGGGACAGATCCCACACTTCTGAGGCTGGGTATAGACATAACTGTCTTGAGGCCTGGCACTGCTGACCTACTCAAGGTCTGCTTCATCCAAAAGCTCCCTCATCATTCCTAAAACCGGCATTCCCTCTCCTCTCAGCCTGAGGCCTTATCTGGCAAGTCTCTTTGAACTGCGTATACTTTCCACAAAGGACAGTTGTAAAAGAAGCCACTATTATACCAAGAAATCCATCAACTTCAGCAGTGAGACAGGGATCTGAGAAAACTGGGTCCAGTCCTGTGCTACAGAGTTATGTGAATACCACTGATCCATAAACATTGGACTTTAGCACATAAGGCACTTGAGTGCCTAATTCCTCCGGATGCATTTAGCTCCAATAGCATCTGGGAAATTTCTGGTCTGTTAGACATGACATAGTCAGGGACTTGGCTATGAAAATAAACTTTGGGCATTTCTTTTTAGAGAAATATATTTTCTACCTACTTACTTAGAACTTTGTGTTTGTTTAACTCAAGAGCCCTTGTTGAATTTCTGTGCTTCCAGCTTTCTAAGCAATGAAATGATTTGGTTTGGGGCTCTACAGTGCACCACTGATGACATTTATACAGACAAGAAAGTGTCAGACAAACTATAAAACATGATTTAAATTAAATCCATCCTTTAACAAGGTTCAACTTATCTCGCAGCGCAAAAACCCACGAAGTATCATCTCCCTCACCAGCAACAGCCAGAGTTTGTAGGTACTATCTGTGTCATACAGCACCTTTTTTGGAAAGTAGTCCTACTAATCCCTCAACATTGAGCCAGAGTGAGGATACTGATTCCAAGTCCTCAAAACAGCACAGCTGCACGTGTGCAGCAACACGATGTTGTGCAGAACAAAGGAGACTTCAGGTGAGCACTCACTGCCCAGAATCTCAACACCATAGGAAGGGAAAGTCATGCAGCTGTGACGCATTTTTTGCATCTATAATCCCAATCATCCCAACTGGGAACTTTGCACTCTGACACATCTTCCTTCTTTCATTTTCCCAGTCTTTACATACCTTGTTTGAATAGTCAGCTCATAACATTTTAACTAGATTATCAGTCAACTCACCTTGTGAAAGGTGTCTGTCTGTACCAGGCCTAAGCAAATAGCAACTCCTAGTTACTAACCAGCCTCCTTTCACTGCTGAGCAAATGAAGAATGTACATTAAAATCTACAGGATATTTAGGTACTTTGAAGTGTGCCACTTGGCATCTGGAAAAATAATTGCTTATCAGGTAACATGGCGTAACACTGAATTACAAACACTGATTAGTGCTTGGGCTTTCTTTTTCAGATGCTCAAAAAGGAGAGAGAAGCTCTATCATTTTTCCCTGCACATGCCACACGAGATCAAATGGCATAGCAAACACTTAAGAGACCATGAAATAGTTGTGTTGCTTTCATGACATTACAAAATGTTAATAAAGGCGGGAATCAGAGCTACATGAAATATTGTACACTAGGAAGTGCACTTACCACTTACGATGCTTGGTCATCACAAATTTTCTCACAGAAAGAAAGAAAAATCTCTCTTAAAATACTTCATTTTCACACAGTTTTAATTTTAAATTTATAACTTTGTTACCGTAGCTCAAGATACGTGCAACCTCAGTATTTTCCAAAGAGAAGTTACCTGTGGTTGGCTCATGACATAGGTCAATTGCTGGTTTTGAGCATGGGGAAGGGTATTTCAGCTTTAAGAGTTCGGGCTCTAAGAGCAATTGGTGATGCATGTAGCAGTATATTCACAAGGCGCATCTCACCACTGATGTATATTTACAGCCCAGAATTAGCCAAAGAAATAACAAATTTGCATGCATGCAAGAAAAGTCATCAGCTTAATATAACCATGGCACAGATTTTACTCAAAAATACACATCCAGATCCATATGAATCCCACCTCACACATTGGTCTTCATCACATCATACACTGGTCTGCCTTACATACAGGCAGTTGCCATGAGGAGGGGCTACAGGAGAGAAACCAAAGCAATAGATTCATAGACTTAATTGCTTATTGTTGACTTTTCATTTCTAGAAAATACTAAGGGTGGAATTCTTTATTACAAATAACTGGCCTGTTTTCGGGGACATCCTTTTCATTTTAAACGCCTCCTTTGTTCACCTAAATAATAAACTTGAATACTTCCTAAACATTCCTTCTCCCTCCTCCCTTCTCGAGAGACAAATTTTTCCAAGTCTGCAGATGCTGAAAATGAGACACAAATGGATTAACATCACTGGGTACTCCTGGGACACTAAAAATAACCCATTCTCAGGTATCAGATGGGTTCTTTCTTAGCTGAAAGTCTTCCCGTACTTCATATTTGAAGGAAAAAGTAACTGCACTTACCAAGTAATAAAGTAACAAGGTGACTGATAGTCATTGCCACTGAAAGTAGGACACAGCGTGAATTTGTCCTCTTGCACTTGACATCTGTAGCTGTGCAATTAAACAAGTAGATGGGTATGGATGTCTCAGGAAGTAGGAAGACATCAAAAACTTCCTCTGGAGCCCCATGGAGAGAGCAAGGTGCTACTGACCAGGAAGCAGCCACCTTGTGGCTCACAGCCTCCCAGAACTAACCCCTTCTAGTCAAAAGTGCAAGTACAACACTTAGAGACATCTCTAGTCGTGTCCAGGATTTACCAATAAGAATTTAGCTACTCGTACTTTTAACTGCAGCAACAAGGTCTGGAAACAGCAATGACAGAACAAACCTGAAACGCTTACTGAAATTTATTCACCAAGTTTCAGCGGTGAAAAGCAAGTTGCTGGTTTTGACTTTCTAATTAAAATCATTTTAAAACCCATTCCTACCACCAGCTGGTGAGATACAGCAGAAGAAAAAAAATAGAGAAAAGGTAATTAAAGAGGCCCCTCCTTGCCTTGACACTGGATAGCTGTTTTTTGGCCTTTAGGTGCACGTTTCCAAAATAAGCCAAACCTTCACGATGCAGTGAAATCACAGAGAACAAGACTCACGCTTTCCATCCCCAGGGCTCTCAGTGGAGCACTCAAACAACCAACACCCCTGAACATTGAGTCCCAACAACACAGGGAAACGTAACCTCTATCACCATGACACTCCCAGGAAATCAACACCTATTGACGACCAAGGAATAATTACGAGAGGATAAAAAGACAGCTGCTTTCCCTCTGTTTTTAATCACAGATCCAGACCCTTAAGAGATTGATGGGTTATAAGAGACTTAGAGAAGATTAGCCTTTTCATTACTGCCGGGGTGGTGGAGAGGACAGTTTCAATAACTTCAGCCAGGTATGTTTTTAGCAGTTATTCAGTCACCCTGCTCAAGTAGCACCTCCCTGCCTGCTGTTACAACCAACATCAGCTCAGAAAGCATGGGAAGCTTTTCAGAGCAATTTTTCTTGTTTCTTAAAAAAAAAAAATCCCTGATCTAGTCAGGCTGGTGATAAACATAAATGTATTACAAAAAAAAGTAACGCGTGCAGTTTTGGGCACCACAAGATAAGAAGGACATAGAACCATTAGAAAGAGTGCAAAGGGAGACTATGAGGACGGTGAAGGATCTGGGAGATGTGACAGCAACAGGGCCTGAGGGAACAGCATGGAGCTGTGTCAGGGGAAAGGCAGCTGGGGGTGAGGGATAGGGTCTGCACTGGGGGCGGTGGGCATGGAACAGCCTGCCCAGGGCTGTGGGCACGGCACTGAGCTGTGAGAGTTCAAGGTGTGTTGGGACACCGCTCCCAGACATAAGGCTTGGAGTTTGGGTGGTGCTGTGTGGGGCCAGGAGCTGGAATTAATGATCCTCATGGGTCCCTTCCAGCTCGGGATGTTCTGTGATTCTAATAATAATCATACATGGCTGAAATACTTGCTTCTCTCAAAAGAAACAAGACTTCTACATCCTATTACACACAAATAGAAAACACAAGAGCAAATACTCATGACAAAATAATTTGTTTTCACTCCACATATTTGGAAGTGCTATCCATTCAGAGCTGCTCTGAAATCGTGTTGGCCAGCCTATACTTCTAACAGACCATTATTTAGCTACATCAGTGTTACTCCTCATTTCTGCAGATTGTGCATCACAAACTCTCAGGAATAACCGCTTCTAGAGATGCCACATGGGAACCTGAGAAAAACTTAAAAGGGTTTCAAATAGGCTAACTTAAAATAGCAATCCCAAAGATTGGCAGCTTAGATATTCTATTCCATCTCTCTAATCATCTGAAGATGTCTTCAGAAAAAAAGAGAAAACAGG